AGGGAATGTTGAATTTATCATGCGGCCGTCAAGGAGAGTTCATGAAATCAGGTGATTTCATGATGGCATATTCTGAACTACCGAACATGAGCGAGTTTAACAGCGAGTATGCAGCTATGGAGAGAGCAAGAAAACCATCGCCACCACCTGAAGGCGAGGTGAGACACTTCCTTTATTACCGGCTTTGTTATGCGTCCAAACGCGTAGTGAAGTCCTATCAAGCAACATACAATGGTCTGTTTTACCTCGGATGTGGTTGTAAGGGACTTAGAGATAGGCCTTACGATCTTGTTTGAGCTTTCCAAAAATTACTGAATACTTCCTGCTAGTGAGCAACTACATTCCCACTTTGCTTGCAGTAAGAATCCGAAAAACTCTTTTATTCAATAAACGAACCCGCAGTTCTATCGGGCGCAGTTCCTACAGTTCCATCGCATTGCTGGAAACCTACTGCTCCTTTGCAAGATGCTTATCTAATTTCTTCTTACGCACAACTCGAATTCTCGGTTACCGAGAAACAACGGTCACGCTAGAAACTCAATGGGTACTTCCTATTTCGTCGTGCCTCAGAACTTTTCTGAGATATAGCGTGAAGGGTGACAAATTTACCTTCGATTAGTTTTCCAATTACCCAAAGTGGCCTGGAAATACTGGCGATCCAATCTTGTAATATGTTGGAAGCCAGCCGTAGAACACAATAACTGCTGCAGCATTTGTCTCTCCCCCAGCAAGTTTGAACGAAGAAGTTCGTCGCTTATTAGATGTCTCTGGCAGGACCTCTTAAGAATAAAATTTTCAATTTACAGAAATCAAATCTGACTACGGTTATACTCTGGTTTTGATTCGCATGCAAATCGCCAGCCATTCGTTGAGAATTTACACCATGTTACAAAACTTGTATTCGGCTAGCTTTGTCTAGCCAAATTTACGAGTTTTGCCATATCAAATTTCTCTATATCCAAGTCAGCTTTTACGAAGTGATTTGGTCTGCTCACGTTTCATGAACACTTGGTTCGCAACATAATTAGCTTGTCTCGATACATTTCATTTACAACTGGTATGCGCTGCTCACACCGTTCGATTTGCGAAGGCGACTGCATAGTCGATCAATGCTCACATACATCATTTCAAAGTAAAATCAACGATCAATAGTCAGTAAAAAATTCCTCCACTAGTAATAATCGAGGTGTGCTGTGCTTGTGCTTCTATTGCGCGATCTTGCATCCAATGTTTACTTAGTTTCTTTATTACATCCTCTTCCGACCTCACAGGTTTTTTTTTACTATTTTTAAACGCAGAGCGATGCGTTTGTTTCGAGTTGCTGCTGGAAATTTTCCTTTTTTTTTGTAAAAGTTCATTCTAGACACAACCACCAACAAACAATGGACCTGGTGACCAGCGACGTCCTCAAGGTGTTAGGCCTGGTGTGCCTTCCCATAAAAGGCCAGTACCTTCTCATCCTGGACTTGGTCCTCCCGCAAAACGGCTAGAACAAAGTGGTCCGGGTCATTTTAGAGGGAGACCATAGTTTAGAATCGGTATCAGGTCAGTTATTCGACCTCCTCGTTCTTTCCCGTCGGAACCTTGTATTGTGATGCTGGTCATTAAGGAACCGTTTTCGTTGTGAATTCCAAATTTTCTTCTTTTTTACTCCTATTGTATTATTTCAGGTAAACCAATGTGGATGAACTTGTTCAACAGTTCAAACGTTGGTATATATAGGATGAATGAGGATTTCCTCAGTGTTTCTTTTGCATCAACTCCGAATGCCGTTAGTCCCCCGTGTTCGATTCATAATCATTGTTATATATTGTACATTCTCACAGAGTTTTACCCACTTTTCCTCATTGCGGGTTTGAGTTACTGTGTCGCATTGAAATAGACCATTGGGATCATAGCTAACCGCAGGCCTCGATGAGTTCATTTTGTGTTGAGGATGATGACCAGTCGAAGATCAACATAGGTAGGTATAGATGTGCGTTGACATGTGAAGTTTCATGCGGGAACTTTTATTAACTACGCTACGGTTTTTGCGAAGATTAATTGCTTAACTATCCTCCTTACGGCAGTATCAGTGAATTCTCAGTCACAGTGTTTCTTTCCGTTTTTGACTCGTGATATGTTTGCTTTTCTTCCAGGTTTTATTATTGGTGATGTTAGTACATGCTTACTGAAGAGAGTGTCTTTTAAATTGTTTATAATCGGATAAACCATTCGATTGAGGTGTCCGGTTTTAGCGGGTATGTTATGATACGTGGTTTACGTTCCACATAATTTTATGTTCTAATTGTTATTCTTTTACCCTGGGAAGGTATTCTTTTCTTGTTTAGCCTTGTGTAGTTTCTGCGGATTGTAAAGTGAGACCACATATTTCTGTCTTTCTTTATTCATTACTGTTTGCCTTGATTGCTCTCTTTACGAAAGTTCCCAACATCTTTGTAAGCATGCTCCTTCTATGCGAAATAGTAGTGCTCATTCCGATTTGGAGCTCATCTGCCAGAGCAATGCCTTATTTTGCAGAGCATTGATAACAGCTCAATTCATTATTACTTTACCTTTCTACCCAACCAATTTTACTCTTTGGATGATGAATTGGAAGAACGTTATGTTGGGCGTCGACCTATTTTCGAATAACTTTGCACCGTTAATTACTTCCCTATGCAAGAAGTTAAGGAAACCTAAGTACGTGGTTACTAGCGAAGTCCACCCAATGTGCAAAAGTAATAGGTACAAAAGAAATGTGTTTTCACTTCCCCTCCGCTTCCATCGAAGCAGTTCTAGGGCTCTGAATGCTCCCTTAATGACCTGCGGTGGTCATTTGTATCAGGCCTCAGGAAAGCGTCTTCTTTCCCTTGATGAATGCATGAGGAATAAGTTGGACTATGCGAGAGCTTGCAGCCGACTGTGAATGGCCATGATATAATCACTGCTGAGTGTCTGCACCAGTTCGGAATCCGGATAGCTTCATTTGATGAAGGAATTCTGAGCATGTCCCTTCCCCAAATAATGGCCTGCTCTGCTACTGATTGTGTTTTCCTGAAATAAGTAACTTCAAACGGCTGTAGGGATACAATTTGTAGCGAATACTCTGAGCATGAACCTAGTAGGATGGTATACCTATAAATCCTTGAAGGCATGCAACGAAGTAGAGGGTAAACCCATAAGAGGAAGAGTTTGAACTATTTTCCTGAAACTGGGAAACGTACCCGAAAATTCATTGAATACTGCTTATAGAGAAGAAATAATTGTCTGCACTGATGCATTTTGTAACGCAGTTGATTTAATGCGTTTTTGCTCCTAACGTATTAAGAATTTAATTACTTCCTGTAATTACTGATTACTCATTCTAATTGTTTCATTCAAATAGATTTTTCAATTTACTAATTTCAAAGCAAATTCCACATGAAGGGCAGGTAAAGTAGCCGATAAACTTAGTGCCTTTGATGGATCCGTGAACTTTAAGGACAAATGAAACATGAAAAGGAACTTTCCTACTTGAATTATGAGGTGACCTTGTTTAAAAGTTGTACTAGTTCTAGGTAATTTAATTAACTATCTTACGTGCATACGAATGTGACTTGAGTAAGCATTGGTATGTTTTGTGATTCCTTCAACATAGAGTCTGTGGACTCTTTTTGAGCATTGTCTCTATCTACTGGCTCTAATCGAGGTCCCATTATACTCCGCGTTCTTTATTTCCCTCTTAAGTGAAAAAGTAGATGCTATTTCGTCGTCATGGCGCGCCCTTAACCTGCAATTGTTATGCTGGCATTGAGACGAAACCATTGAGAATGGTACCGAAAAAGAAGAAAACCCAGCTGTCAATCACGGCATATACGACTATTGATCCTACAGCCAATTGAACCCTGTGCCTTTGATTATAGACTTGTCCTTTGAATTTCTTTTCTTACGAACAGGTTTGCTTACTACATATCAAAATTCCAATCTCATTTTTTGATTAAAAAAAGGTGTAATATCAAGGCAGAAGACGTTTCGGCTGTACGATAAGAAGTCGTAAAATAGGAGTAGCGTCGAGCAAGCTGTCCTTCGGCGAAGATTAGACCCTCACAAGCTCCCGAAAATGACAAATTCTGGAACGTCGGAAATGTGGTCATAAGAAAAGACAATAACAGGAGAGCGAACATAGCCAAACAATGGCGTAAAAACTGAACGATGGTTATAGCCATGATGATCATGTTTTCTTGCAATCTGCAAGGGATATTGCCAAACATCTCCCACCCAATTTCATTTTTGTGCAAACTTAAAAACGTTGAATGTTGAAGATAAGCTGTCCTATGAAAGTGGCATTAGCTTTGGTGTGCCTCTAGGTGAGGAAGCGAAATTTAATGCTTGGGCTGCTTACGTGATCTCTGATAGTTATTGGACTTACGAGCGCAAAGATGACCACCTGTAAGTCGTGAAAGACGCCGCAAAGCTCATTCCGACGGAGGGCGGTCTCCCGATCCGCCCCCCGCAGTCCCAACCCGCACCCCATGACGCAGTGCGATCGATGTGTATGTTCCATTCTTTCTTCGCTATGCGCCTTGAAGGGATCCCGAACTCTTGCAACCTGCTGAAGGGCGGAACTGGATGTATCGGGCTCCTTTTATCGTTCTATTATGTCTTCGTTATTTTACTATTAGAATTTCGTTCCATTTTCCATTTAGCCCTTTTTTAGTGGCTCAAATCTAATTATGTGGACGCTTTTTTCGGTCTAATATGATAGTAAGGCTCTTCTTTTCTACAGAGTATCTTGTTTTCGATGAACATCAAAGTCATGAGGCGGAATATCTTATGATACTCGCAAAGTGAGCTGTTTTATTGATTGAAATCATCACTTTGAAGGTCATGGGCCCTTAAGAAGTTTCCCAATTTGCTCTAGCGTTTCATGACAGTGTAAATTGGTTTTTTTAGGTATTTGTTTTCAAATTGTTTTCAATTTCTTCTTGAACAAAAAGTAAATTTGCATTGTATACTCAAACTTTCGCACAATCTCGTCGATTCTATTCAGAATACATTCAATTTTTTTCTAGTCATCTTTAGTTCTGATTCCCTGGAAGACTGCAAGATGACATTCTATATTGCATCGTTCTATTTTAAATATAAGTTTCGTTACCATTTTCAAACGTTCATAAGTATTTGGTTGTTTGCTGCTGTTTCTAAACCTAATTCGATATAAGCTTGGGATGTTTTACATGCTGTTTAATGTCTATTAAGCAGTCAGCTGTCGGAATTCATTCGTTTTTCAGAGCCGACAGTAAATTGCATTACGTGTCATATGTAGTTTCATAACGACACATTTTATTGAATTCTACTAGAAATAAGGGGAATGGGCTTGTTAGTGGTGATTCGAACGAGAAATGCGACGCCAGTCAAGCCTTGAAGCTGTGAAACCTCTGTTGCAATTAGCTTTTTGCTCAGGTTTTTGATACAGCTGTTAGGCAAAAAGTTTCCGGATCCGCATAGGGAAACTCACCCATTTAATCTTAAAAGTATAAATAATGAAATTCATGATATTCTGTAGCTCACTGTGTAGACATGATCAGTGACGTTTCTCCTAGAACCAACTTGTAATTTAGCTGTGATAACCATTCTGGAGGGGAACTTTCCTATTCCTTCTAATTATCAACAGAAAGAGCTAATTACGTAGTAGTTGTATAAAGGTTGACTTTGTTAAGGAAGGCATGAATAACGCCTTAACACCGAAGCCCTATCCTTTCATCAATATATGATATTATACTATATTGCACTGACTTATATGTATCCGTGGTCAAAAGCATTCCGGTGTGTCAACCGTTAAAGGACTGGATGCTGGTTTTTGCTGTTCTCCTTCTGACCCTTCAAGACGAAGTTCCAATGCCCCCTACAGCCTTTCCCGTTAATGCGTTTCGTGCGCAGTATTGTTAAAGTTTGGACTGGCTTTCACCAATGGAGGAAGACAGGAAGACAGGCAGTTTTTTGGTGGGCAGCGCTTGAAACAATGTGCTCTAATGAAGTGGAGGCTAGGTCGATTCGATTACCGAGAGGTGGGTACTATAGCACCCGCGTGCATTCCTCACTTCCAAAACTGGTACGCTACTCGACCACATTTGATCGAAAGTGCGTTGGGGGATGCATTCAGTGAACCATAGATGCTCTGTGTAGACAATCATCAACATTGGCTTTTGTTCTTTCATCGGCAAACAAGAAAGTTTGTCCAACAAATACCCGAACTCAACCGTATGGCAAAAGATTATTTTCGCTTAAGAGAAATGATCGCCGGTACTGGTGAGTTCCATGGTAAAAAGTGTTCATTATCTCTCTGAATTCAAGTATTTTCCATAATTGTTGTACGTTTGCAGCCAAGTGCATCTGTCTCATCTCAATTTCTATGCTTTTGTAGGCCTTTCTTCTTTTCGCAACAATTGCTACCCTGCAGGAATTATTGCATATTCACCTTACCCTTACTAGTTTCTGTAATCTGTTACCCATCGGAATTCCGAGCGCCAACTTGCAGTGCGTCCTTGCACAAGTTCTCTATATGTGCAAGAGGAAATTGCAAAGGAAATCATTGTGATTAGAGTTCTCTTTCATTTCTATCAAAAGATGCGTGCACATAGTTTCATTGCTGTCAATCGTCATCATTACTCACAAAAGATTCTAAACGTAGGAAGTAATGAATTGCACGTTGTCAGAGTCTCTGCAGAAACCTAAGTTTTTCCTTATTCATTCTTATACCAGTATTTGAATTGCGGCGCCGTTCGGTGTTTAGGAAGACCATTATTATTGCAATTAAAAATGAAAATGACCCCTCTCCTTGTATTGTTTTCGAAGATACAGGACGTATCTATGCTATTTTCCTTGGAAGTTTTGCTTCTATGAAAGCCCACCGATTCAAAGCGCTTCAAAATTTTCGAATATACTTTGTTTTTATAAGAAATTACTAGAATTTGGCTGCGCAATTTCAAAGTTACACTTAAAACATCGAGTTATTGATGTGGTTGATTCGTTATTCTTGCATAACTATTGTATTTTTGATTGCTATCGTATTCTATGGTTTTTGAGGGGTCTGCCACAGAAAGCTTTTACGACGTTGGGTCATCGATCAAAGGTTTTCTCGATGTTCTCGCAACATGCATCCCTAGCACATAACGATTTGCGGACTCCAGAGAAATAAGAATAGCTCCCTCGGAAAATCGCGCAAAGGAAAGAAACCTCGGCACCTAGAACCTTCCTGATGTTGTCGGTAACTTCGTGACTCACGTTTCTGGTTTTCATCACGACCTTTCCTAATGACTCACTTCTTTCGAAGGCATTCCATTGGTATTGGTTTTTCGGTGTTTTTCTAGAGATTCGTTCTACAGTATTGCATCACTACGTCAAAATTTTTGTTCAGACAAGCCTTCCTCGTGTTTTTTCAATTGATGATGATTTTTCCTTGGATATTGTTTATCTTCGTGGCATAGTTTGGTCCCCTATCGACGTTATATAGATGTGCTCTAAGTGTGGAATTGTGGAAAGGCGAACCACGCTATTTGGCACCTTTTGGGTGGGGGAGGGAATAACTGTAGGACATTCCTGGGCCGTTGACAACGACTAAACTAAGTGGGAGAACAGCATATATGCCGTTTTGCCTACGTCATTTTGATTTGGTTTTTCACATGGGAAGACTTCCCGTCCGGACCCCCAATGTAATGCTGGCTGTAGGTATGTCGTGCGTTCACCATTTTCTTTTCCAGAACTTCAGCTTCGCAGTTTGGTCTTAAAAACACCAGGATGAAATTGAGCCCCTCCTCTTGAAGTCATTGTGAGCTCCCTTTTCTACTTAAGCACTCTTCAGTGCACTTCTTTACGTGGGCAGTGAATTGAATAAGGAGCGCATCAGTGCCTATTTGGACCTACGTCACCCAGGCTTCTAATACGAGCTGGCATCGATCGAAGGTACTGATTATAGCTGCATCCTCAACACCTACCACGTGTCCACGTTTCTTCTTTCTAATACTTTGGGAAAACTTTGAGACTTGTTATTTTGCCATTTTTTTCAGGCTTCTTTGGCATAATTATGTGCATGCTATCTCGATGGCCTTTGACATACGAGACATCATTCTCTCATCTAGCTTTAAAGGTTTCGATCATTTTTGAGGACCATATATTGCATAATGAGAACCGAACTTGAATTGAGGCTCGGCTCTCTCTCCACCACATCTCTGAGGGTCTTCTTCTTCCAAGTCTAATCTCTTTTTTGAAAGCATTCTATTGAATTTGAGTCCTTGTAGATCATGATTTCAACTTACTTACTTAGATTCAGTTTCTCCCATGCCGTTGGGCATATCGGGCGATGAAGTCTTTTCACTATTTTCCTAATCTCAGCTAGTTGAAGCAAATTTCAATCTGACGAAATATTTTATTGACGCTGATTTGACTGGCATCGTTGCTCAGGTGCGGTCCTGCCGGTCATCAAACATTTTGACGCGCCTTTTAGCAGCAGCAGCGGGGTCCCGATATCGCCGTCCAAATGCCCGTGTTCTCCATATATACACTTTGTAGGCGAGATAGCCAAATTGCAGAAGTCTTGCACGTGCTCTTAAAGTCGTTTCGTATGTAAGCAAGCATAGGATCTGATTCACCGTGATACTGTGGTAGTTTCCCCTATAGATTTCTTTCATCGTTCAATCATGATTTCAGAGAGTTTTGAAATATTGTAGCTGTCAGTTGCGAGTGAATTTCCTCGTCTGTTAGCTGCAAAATATTTTGAGTGTAGAGTTACAGGTTTTGGTTTACTATCTTTTTTGGTTGGACTTTTGAGCATGCTCGACGCTGTACTCTTAAGAGTAGAATCGCAATTTTTATCGTATTGTGATCTGCAGGTTTCCCGAAATCTAGTGTCGGATGTTTCCCTTTAGCCTAATTATTTAGTTTTAAAGAACAAGAAGGCTTCAATGTCATGCTTATAATGCCATGAATGAATTGCTAGTCATGGCTCTGCCTTTGCCAAGCTGAGTTGAATTAGTTGAGTATTGTGTTCTGTTATATGGACATGGTATGGACGCCTTAAGCGTAAATGAATCTGTTCAAAATCACTCATACTTTGCTTCTAATTGGACTGCATCGAGCACTACGCATTACCCACATAGGCTCCTCTAAGTGACATTCGATTTTCGTATTTCTCATATGTTTGTTGGATTCTAGAATACATTCGATTTTCGTATTTCTCATATGTTTGTTGGATTCTAGAATTTTTTGCCAAAGCACTCATCATAATCATTGCTGTTCTTCTGAATTCCAACTATTCCAGGATGAATGCCGCCAATCCATGGGAAGTGTCGGTGGCAGAGCATCAAGCAAACAGCGTTCAGTTTGCTGCATTATACCCTCAAAATGGCCGTATTGACGGGAACACAGCACGAAATGTTCTGATGAAAAGCAATTTACCACCGCAGATATTAGCACAGGTAATAAGGGTCGATAACTCATTACGTTTTATGGAATTTATGATTAATTTTCTTACTTTGCACGGTTATTTGTTACCTTGATTAAGTGTAAAGATTTTCAATGATTCTTATTCGGTATTCGCAGCATTTTCGAGTGTGACTCTTGGAAAAGAGCGAAGCGAAGAGGGCTAATGTATTATTCGCAACTGTAATTAGCGCGTGCAAAGCCAGTGCGCTTAGAGGATGTGGTGGAAAAGAGCCTTTGGTGGCGTTGATTTGGTTTTGTTTGGAAATGCCGTAAATTGACCATGAATGGCAGAACATCAACAATTTTCCTGCTGTGGTCATTCTATCGATCGTTACTAAATGAGTTAGATCTCGTTACATAGCGCTCGTTGGCCAAATAAGACAATCAACGTCTTGGGCTTACGCTTCACAGCTTGTTGTGGGGTAGTAGGGATGGGATAGTCCAAATCGCGTCAGATAGGATCTAATTCGTGAACTTTTTGGAAGTCAAAAGGCAATAAGGGTTCCACTTACTATTGGGTAAATTAGTTTCGTAGTCTCAAATCTTTTTTTCGTCAATCGTCTTTTTTTGCAATTTGATTATTGTTTACGACGTTTTTACCCATTACAACTCTGCTTCCGACGCGAAATTAGTCCAGAAAGGAATTATTGGAATATCTTTCACAGAAACTAATCTGGCAACTACCGAATAGGCCCTTGTCTACAAATTATAACAGTTCGTGATTTTTTTCGAGCATCCCAATTTTGCAGTTGTCCGATTTTCACAGCATTGGTGGTGCTGTTAGGGGAAGCTGGAGTGTTGAAGGAGTGAAAGCAGGTGATTGTCGTGTAAGAAAATATTAGGGGCTGCCTCGTGACTCCCTGAAAAACATGCGGAAATCAAAGGTTGCGAGATAGGCGGGTCGAGGACCGGCTGTAATATGTTTACTGTAACTGTGCGTGCCCTAGCAATTGTTTCGTGACTTATAAGAGTAGACAGCGATCCTCTTAAGAATATGACAGAATCGTATGACTTCATTTTGGATTCAGCACGCAATGACTTTTCATGCAGGATGTAGCGGTTACAAAAACAAAAACGAGGTTAATCCGCTGATACAGTCTTCTCCCTCATAATACAACTGAGGAACAGGTTTATTGCACGATATCATTCGATTGGAATCTTGTGCATTTGCAGAGGCTGGAACTGGCAACGAAAGGCAAGCTCATATTTCACGAGTATGCCCTTTCAAGTAGTGTCTTTTTGCAAGCGATCAGAGCCGGCAAGAAGCTGCAAAAGTGCGTTTGCATATGAAAATCGTTGATGGGATTTCTTTCGATATATGGGAAAGGTTTCAAGGGATTTGAGGCCATCCATGACTAATTTTTAGGTTCAAAAAGAGTAGAAGATGCAATTAAGGTCTGTATTGGTTCTTGGTAATAGGTGATACATAATTTTCTTAGCTGTTAAGTGGAGCTGCTCCTCGGAAAGGAAGGTGCAGACTCCTCTTTGTCTTTGTGGAAAGATCTCAAAGATTCATGAAAGTTGTCCGATTCTCTGATTGCGCTTTGATGATGGGAGTCGAGGAGAATCTCTTAATGAACTTTCTTGCGAAAAAGTTAATGAGCACTGTATGGTAATGAACTGCTCTGGATGCCTCGATGCATGGATGCAAATGTTGTTGTTCATTTTTATTGGGAAGATGAGATCGTTAGATAGCCGTTTTACTGCTTTCAAGACGAGCTTGCGGTTCAAGGAACTTTTCTTAATTGAATTGCTTTCACTTTCATTTTGGTAGAACCAGACTGGATTAAGTAGCTTTTTGTAGCGTGCCCTCTCAGCATGGCCCCAAGTGCAGTGAATGGGGAACGTCATAGATTATGAAAATTTTATGATCCAATGTGCTTTTTAATTCTATGAAGTTATAAACTTTTTCGAATGGCATATCTTATTAATGACTTTTACCTCAATATCCCTGTTGATTGAGTTTTCATTGGCACTGCCTCCCTACGACAAGTATTTTTCAGATATGGGCATTAGCGGACACGAATCGGGATGGTATGCTTGACATTCGAGAATTCTCTATAGCTATGCGATTGACACGAAATTGCCTCGCCGGTCTTCCATTACCTCCCACTCTACCTCCATCATTGATGCAAGTCCCAGCCGGAAGTGGTCCACCACAAGTGCAACCGCATATGAATGCGATGCCACATCCGAATGCCGTATACACACCAGGTTAGACATCTTGTCAACTGGTCCTATTGAATTTATGGTGGAAGTATCGTTACTAAGTTACCAGTTGACCTTGAGTTTGATAAGGTGTATAGGTCACAAGAGAGTAATGAAATAGTGAAAACATTGACGATTGGTCTCTGAAAATTCGAACTGGGAGGGATTCCAATGAGTTTTTGCGAAACATGAAGCCAATCCACTGGACCGAATTGGAGAGAGGAAAATTAAAGTGACGAATTTTGGGTAGATGTAAGCTCAAAGTTTTATTTTCCAAACTGATGGGATGGAGCCCTATACACTGTTTTCTATGACGAATAATTATTTCAAATTTGGCTTGGATTGGAACCATTGAGGCATACTCTTTTCTCTAGGCACTAATGACGTGGTCTACGAGCTTATGTGTTGAGTACGTTAGATGTGCTTCGCAAGGTAGCTGAGAAGCGGGACGACTTCGATCGGGCAGGCAGTTGAGAGAGAAGAACGTGGAAGAAGTTCTAGGGTGGTGGTGCGCACAGAGCAGAGGGAGAGCAGAGCTGCAATGATGCAAGTCTGATATATCGCTTGGTAACTCATGCGCTATCAACGAATCATGAATGGTCGATGACAGAGGGGTTGGCGTTGTAGGAACAACAAAATTTCGATACTAAGCTGTTCAAAGATTGATTAACATGAGGCTTTTGCGTATTCATCAGTCAAATGGCGTCTAGAAGTTAAGAGCACGGGTTGGGTACCCAGAAAGCCAGCTAGTTTGTAGGTTATCGTTTTGGGATCCCTTTCGTTGTTTTCCTATTTCCCATGGGTGTTATAGTCTACGAAATTCGGTAACGTCATCGTTGTGTTTTATTCATGAGGCAAAGTAACTTTTCCAAGAGTTTATTTCGGGAGAGCGACGAACGCTCTTCGAAGGGCCCTCTCTAGACCTTGCAAACTTTTCTCAGGATTACACCTTATGGAACATAAAATATAGATTTATCGAATTAAGTTACTCAAAAACAAAGAATTCGATAACTTTTTCAAAGGTATTAAAGTGGATAAGTTGAATCAGTTCGGATAGCGCTTTCTTGGTTCCGTTCCGCAGGCCGCTGCAACTTCATGAGCCATTCATAATCCTCTGCATTCTGCGCTCTAATAACTCCGACAATCCTAAATGGGACAAACGCGATGCCGCGTTCTCTTTGTTGCCTTTTGAAGAGGTTTTAGAGGAGACCATCCAATTGCTTGAAATTAAAAGATAAGGTTCTCTATCATTCCGGGTTACCCTGGAGGTGCAAAAATTGACTTTCAACATTTCATTCCGTACCAGTAGATCTGGGTAATCGCAAAGTATGGAAGCATTAAAGAAAATATTCACTGAGTAGTTGTCCTTCAGAGGCTCCAAAAATCCCGTATGGCATGTCACCGGTACAACCCACGCCGCCCATGTTCCCTGTATATCAAACAGCTCCACCGGGAATGATGGCCAGACGACCATCACAGCCTCTGAACGGTGGAAGTGTACCAAATCTGGCACAAGGGAAGCAGTGTGGCAATTGGACTATTCCTCATCAAGCAAAGCTCCGATATAGTCAACAATTCAACCAGCAGGACAAGGTGAGCCTCCATGAACAATTATTTCAGAAAAGCTGGGAATTCTATTAAAATCTTTGAAGATCATAGCATATCCTTTTGTTTGAAATGAACGTGAGTGGCAGAACGTCCTTTCGACAATAATTCGAGTAGAAGTAGGTTGAACAAAGGTTCATGTCACCCTAAAGAATAGCACTCAAATCGGTCATCGCTCAATAATGCCTTCACCGCTAAGCTAGATGCCCTTTGGGGATGAATGCGTCTGTATCAGGTTACACTGATGGCTGAAATGGACTGAATTTCTTATTCTATGACGTGTTAGGGAAGGGAAGAGGTGATATTTGAAACTTGAGCCGATGGAAACTATTGATTTCACTGCACCTTGTTCACCCCCAATAACCTTACATAAACAAACCGAGAGAAATAATTGATCGATGCTGCAAAATTTCTCATTACTGCACTTTTCATGGGTTAGGTGGGTTTTGGTCTTTCCCAAATAGTCACTTGAGTGTACACCAGTTGGGTCATCTTAGAAAACGATACCTACGTGACACCTTTTTCCAAACTTAGGTATGGTCTGAATTTCGAGGAAATCCAGCCAGAGTAAGACTAGAGAGGTCAATTTAGAATGGTGTTAGATGAGTGCTTAAGTGGGTAATATGAAGCAATCTAAATCCACCATGGATTTTTTCTAGGGGATGGGTGGTGTAAGGAAGTCCCGTTGATGGTTCCTAAGGTGAAAGCTGGGTTGCATTGCAGAGTACATATGAATGCTTGTAAGGATGGCAGGAATGTTAACTAATCCCCATAGCTTGCGCCAGCAAAAGGTTTGGCTCAGAATAATGCCGAATCGATACCCCGATTGTATTTCCGGAAATTGTTGGGCAGCTGTTGTTAGCTATTCAGTGATGTCATGCCGAGGAGTTGATTAATATCAAAAAATGTTGCGTGACTATTAAGACTGCTGATTGACCCTCAGACTTAAAAGCTTGTTCCCCTTAAACTCATTTTATGGCCACCAGTAATTTTTGGCTGCAAGCTGACATGGCGGATAGCTTTTAAAGGTGCTCGTTGTTAGGTTCCCAAACCTGTGTTCGAGTAATTCTCACGCTAACTTTAAATTAACGTCTGAGTTCACACGTAACCTGAAAGTGCACTTATTT